ATACAGAAACATACAGTAAAACTACAGTAAAACTCCACCATAGTAAATACATTCCCAAAACTCACTTTTGTAAATCCTGCTGTTGTATTATTGTGGTTAATTAAAAATAATGTTTTTATCAGTAGGTGGTATTATCATAAAATTAAAGATTATGTGATTTCTGCTGTGCACAATTGACCTTACATTGAATAGAGAAAGTCCCAAGGGATTCCAAGACATCTGCTTACACACATAGGCGCACAAATGCACGCACACAAATGCATGCACGCACACACACACACATCCTTTGAAGATTTTATCCCACCCTGTCTGAGAAGGGAGTTAAGTGGGCTGTTTAAGTGGGCTGATGAGAGTAGCCAAATGCCAATCATGTGATAGCCAAATTCACATTATCATGTTACCTATTATTTTAAATATGTTTCTCTCTTTAGATTTAGTGTTGTTTATTTCAGCAAGTCTTCCCTCAGTACATAATATGCATCAAGTCCCCTGGGGACAGACCCAAAGGTAACAGAGTGGGGGGGGGGGTGCTTGGAAAGAGCTTTCAGATTAACCAAGCTACCTGGCTGGTAGGACAGAGCTGTGCAGAGAACCTGATTGGAAGTGAGTCCTGAGAGACCAGTACTTTCTGGCCAGGAAGACACCTGGGTGTGCCAGAGCATCCCAGACAGAGGAAATGTGAACAGTGGTACTTCAGCATAAGTGTGCCTATTTGGGGTGGAATTGGCCCAGAGAGTTAGGTTTATTACAGCTGATACAGAAATTAAGTAAGCAGTGAGGTATGGCTAGCCTCCCAGGCCAATCAGGGATCCAAGCAGGGGAGGGCCATGGCCAGCTTTGTGTGTTGAGATTATCCCTCCATTGGCAGGGTGAATGAGGGAGCAGGTGGCTACAAGGCCACTGGGAGTGTTATTGCCAAGATTCAGAACAGGTGGCATGACCTTGAACCAGGAGTATGGCATCAGGATGAACACATATGTCATCAATATATGCAAAATATTTTCCAAGATTATGTGTTTTCTAAATAAGATCAGAAGATATACATAGGAAATTTACCCATTCCTCTGGCATTTTTAACCTCAGCATAATTCTAATTTATGTTATAAGTGCCTTTGTCACTTCCCTCATTGCTCCAACACCCACACCTTAAAGAAGTTTATTTTGGCTTATATTTCAGTCTATAGTCTAAAGGTTCCAAGGTGGAATGGCAAGGCAGAAGAGAGCTTCTCACAACAGGGCGGACAGGAAACAGTAAAAGGAAGAGCAGCATAGGGAGATATAACCTTTGCAACCATGAGCACATTGACCCACTGCTTCTGACCAGACCCTACCTCTGAAAAGCAAATAATCAATAAGCCTTCATAATCCAATCACTTTCCAAAGTTCCCACCTCTGAGCACATGCAGCTTGGGGGGACATCTAGATCTAAACCATAACATTCTACCCTGGCCCCCAAGAGATTTATGCTCATATCTTTATGTAAAATGCATTTAGTCCATCTCTGAGAGTTACCAGAGTCTTAACAATTTCAGCATTGCTGAAGAGTTCAAGTCCAAATCCTCCTCTCAGATGTTAGGCAAACTCTTAGCTGTGAGCCCCTGTGAAAATCAAAAAAGAATGTTAAACACTGCTGACATTCAAAGGCATAGGGAAGGAATAAGAGGATAGAAACCAATGGGACCACAGCAAGACCACAACCCAGCAGGGGAAACATTAAATCCTGTAGCTGTAAGTCCAGCACCCAGGGTAAGCTGCAATAAGATGTAAACTCCAAAGGGCTTGGGTAGCCCTGTCCCTATGGCATTGGTGGTGGTTGCAGCTCTTATGGCTTCTCTCATGAGCTGGCTCTGTTCACTTAAAGCTTTCCTCAAGCATTCCATGTTCTTGGCTTCTCCAATTTCTGGAGTCTCCACTACACTTTAGGCTTCACTCTCACAGCTTCACATGCTGCCCTTTCATGGTCACATTGCCTGGCCTCCCAGGCTTTTATTTTTTCTGAAATTTGGGTAGAAGCCTCTGACCCCATAACTCTTTTTTTTTTTTGGAACCAAGGATTGAACTCAGAACCCTGCACTTGTGAGGCAGGTGCAGTGCCATTGAGCTAAATCCTGGCCCTTGATCCCATAACTCTTGCATTCCGCATGCCTATAAAATCAGGACCACATGGATGACACCAAGTTCTGTCATCAGCTCAAGCCATAGCCAAGCTGCCTAGAATTGCAGCTGCAGAGGCCACTGAGTGTCTGGATGGGTAAGCACTGCTAATGAATCCCAGGGAACTAATTCTCTAGGTGTCCCCAGAGTGCCCTGGGGCTCTCTTCTCAAAGCAAAGCTTTACAGCCTTGCACCCTTGAACCTTCAAAAGAAGAGTCTTTCGGGTTCCTGACGCCCTCAAGCCATTTTTCCTGTTGTTTTGATCTAAAGTACTTGGCTTCTTTTTAATGCTAAACTTTTCAGCAACCAAGCTGTCTTCTGCTATGTCTTTGTGGGTGCTTTTTTTCTGGGAAAAACTGAAAACTTTTGAAATGAGTTCTTTGCTTCTGATTCTGACAGTGAGTCTCACTAAAAGCAGCAAGCACTAACTGTTCTATAAATAGAACATTGGGCTGCCTTGAAATTTCCTCTGCCGGATTAATTAGTCTGCTGCCCTAAATCTCAGTCTCCTGCAAAGTCTCAGGACATGAGCAAAATGTAGACAAATTTTCTGCCAGAGCATAGCACACATGACCTGGAGTCCAGCTGCCAATGCAGTCCTTCTTCCCATCTGAAAGCTCCTGAGCTCGGCCTTTTCCATCTACATTTTTTTTTGGTACCGGGAATCAAACTCAGGGTCTTGCACTTACCAGGCAGGACCTATGCCGCTGAGCTACATCCCTGGCCTCCATCTGCATCTTTATCAGCTTTCTGGTCTTCTGAGAACCACCCAGAATCTCTCATTAAACTCAGTTTAAAGCATCCTAGGACTTGTTTAGCTACCATCTCCAAAACTTTCCTAAGCCAATTCCAAAGGCTTCTGAACCACATGATCAGGCAGCATCTCAGCCATGACCCTGCTTCTCTGGTACCAAAATCTTTCTTAGCCTCTTTCCTCATTTCTAGGACAAAATACTCAACACCTTAAACAAGGAGGGGATTATTTTGGCTCAGGTTTCAATCCATAGTCAGCTGGCTCCAAGGCAAGATGGCATGGGAGAGGAGAGCTGCTCACAGCATGGAGGTCAGGAAGCAGAGAAAAGTCAAGAGAGGAGTTAGGGAGATTTAACCTTCCTGGTCACACCCACAGTGACCTGGTAAACGTCACCTCCTAAAAAGCAAATCAGCCATGATCCCCCTCAAAATTCAATTGCCTTCCAAAGTTCCCACCTCTGAGCACATGAGGCTTTGGGAGACATCTCGATCTAAACCATAACAATAAGCAAAAAAAAGTTTTTTAAAAATTTTTCTTTAAGCATAATCAAGAGTTTGGGGGGCCAGGGACTTAGCTCAGTGGTTTCGCTGCCTGCTTCGCAAGTGCAAGGACCCGAGTTCGGTCCCCGGTACCAAAAAAAAAAAAAAAAAACAAGATAAAATGGCTGAGTATGTTTGGAGTTGTTTCTGCATCTTCTAGGGCCAGGGATTTAGCTCAGTGGTTTTGCTGCCTGCTGCGCAAACTCAAGGACCCGAGTTCGATCTCCGGTACCAAAAAAAAAAAAAGAGTTTGGTTCCTTGGGTTATTTTCTCCCCATATGCACAGTTTAAGTCCAACTTTCTAGTCTTAGATCCTTTATAGATTACATGGCTAAATCTATATAGTATTTAGTTGCCCCATTGACATAATTTTTATAAGGTTGCCTTTTTGTTACTGTCATAATCCACTCAACTCTTATAAATGCCTTCATCTGCTTTCTAAATGCCATAGCTTCTGCACTGATATTTGTACCTGTAGTGTTACATGTTCTTTGGTTTTAAAATACTCTTCCCTTTCCTCCCCAAGTCCAGGAAGAAGCTTGTCTGGGAACTGACTTAGGTGATAGCGTCTCTTCTCTTAACTCTGTCTAGATTTCATTAATTATATCCATAAAAAGTAAATCAAAGAAGGGCCTCTGGGATCATCTGGCTTTGAGAGAAATGATAAGCATGGTTTAGCAAATACGTTAAGGTAAATTATTAATAAAACACTGTGACACAGTACAGAGATGAAAGCCTGATGTCATCACTGCTATATTATATTACTCTACTTTATGTCGAGTACACATCCTGGCCAACCATCAAGCTTGGGCAAAAAGCCATGGGCAAGAAACCAGTAACAGTTTCAGTAAATGGGACCACCTTGTACTGTGGTTATGAACCATGGTCACTTAATTATATCCTGAACACCTTTTCCCAGTAATTAACTACTTTGTGTTTTTCGAATTTCCTACTCAGGCCAGGCTTCACTTGTATTTTCACAAAGGATGGTTGTAAGGGAGGCGTTGTCCTTGCGTAGACAAAAAAGCCTTTTTCCTATATGAACCCAACAATTGGTGCTCCCACGCACACACGCAAATTACTTACTGGGTCTTAGATGAGTTTGCAGCCATTCCGAGTTTCACCGAGAGCATGAGGTTCCAGAAATGGAGCGATGGTGACAGTTGTGGCCCATCTTGTCAAGGGTGGGGAAAGAAGTGAGCACCGAGTTTGATAATAATGAGACTAAGCTTGTCTGGTTAAAATGTGTTCAAAATTATCACTTCATTCTTTTTATTCTTATATTATGGAAATAATCCCTGTTGAATTACTTAACACCTTAAATTTAAAATCTCTATATAAATATGTCTTGGTTGATTTCTGAAGCCAATCTGATGCAGGTAGCATGTGTTAATAAATGGGAAAGAGGATGAATCATGGCATGAATGGAAGGTAATAAAAAAACCACATGTTCATCCTTAGTGTACAGAATATGTCAGAAAAAAGCTTAAATAGATTGAAAGCTTTGTCCAAGAACAAGGAGAAAATTGACCTCCCCTCTCCTTCTTTCTCAGATACATTCCACCATTGATCTGGGGGAAAAGTGGACACATCCAGACAGCCTTGTATGGGAAGATGGGAAGGGTGAGTTCACCACACCCTTATGGCCACCGGAAGTTCATCACCATGTCTGATGGAGCCACATCAACATTTGACCTCTTCGAGCCCTTGGCTGAGCACTGTGTCGGAGGTGAGCTAGTTTAGGTCACAGGAATCTATCTCACAGAGGAGCATTAGCCAGTGGGGAACATGGTGCAAGTGCTTATGCTACCTTCTGTCCCATTAGCCAGGAGTCTGGTGAGATTCATCACTTAGGAACAACTTACAAGGATTGGCTCCAACATGTGCTTGCCAGTCCCGAGGAAAGCTCTCCAGAAAGCATTGCAAAATAGTTTTCGAATCCTCTTGTGAGATATTGGAAATACTGGAAATAGTGTAACAGACAGAGGTGAGCTTGGAGCCCAGCACCCCCAGGACTAATGAGTCAATGTCAGCACCAGAGGCTGGACTGTTCTTAGTACTTTATATCTGCTGTTATCCCCTCAGAACCCTGAGAGGTCAGTGCTTTACCGTCCCCACTTTACTGATGAGGAAACTGAGGCTTGGAGAAGCAATGTAGCCTGGCTTTGTTGAATAACAGTACATTAAGGCTCTCAGATGCCGTATGCATAGGTTTCCTTGGACAGAGACACATTAAGGTCATATTTATTGTAGATGAGAAACAACTCCAATTTCCATTGCTGTTGGAATTGGCGTTGTTCTATCCAATCTATACAGTAAACGCTCCTGACAAAATGCTTTGTAATGAGGATTTTTGAGGAAGAGGAATAAGGTGCCAGCATCCTTTTATGTGCTCTTCCTACCAGAAGAGAGCATATTCAGAAGCAGTTTTTTTTTTTAATGAGTGTGGTAATTATTTGTGGGTAAATTCCAGTAAATGTATTATAACCTTCAGTTATTTAAAGTAGCTGGAGCTTCTGAGTGACTGCTAACAAAAGTTTGTGTTCCCTCTGCCTGGAAGGCTCATCTCCAGATCTTCACATGGCTGTCTATGCCTTGTCATTCAGTTCAAATGGCACCTCCTCAGAGTCCTGACTCCCCTAACAGGCATTGCCTTCCCATTAGACCCATTGTACCCCTGCTTTATAGTTCTTCCCGGTTCCTGCTACTCTGAAAAGTCACATGTGCAGTTGTGTGCCATCTCCCCACTGTAATGCAGGATCCAGGACAGTGAGCTCCCAACACACACTCATGGACAGCATGATGACAGGCACAGGGCAGGCGCTCACATTCTGTTTATAAATCTCATAGCTGCTCTTCAAACATTTATTTCTCCACCACAACCAGGTCAGTGTTTCCTTTCTCTTGTTTATGATGCTTTTACTTCTTCTACCATGGAAGCATAAAATTTAGCCTCACCAGTCTGCTTTTCTTATACCAGGACCGAACGGGGAGTTGAAAGGTTCTCAGTTGTATTTGTCTATGTCTTTCTGTCACTCCTGTCCCCAGAAAGGACTGATGAAGGTGATTCTGGGGAAGGCAATATCTATCCCCCTAAAATGCTTCACGCACAACAGCCCTTTTTTCCTTTTCAAGACTTTCTTCTGACTACAAAGCAATGTCCTCATTTTAGGAAATTTAGATAATAGAGAATTTAAAAAGGAAGTAATCATCCATAATCATACCACCCAACATACCATTATTAACATCTTGCTCTTTTTCCTTCCATTTCTGTGCATTATTTTTCCAAAATTTGAATTACTATATATTATATTATAGTTTCACATCACTAAAAGCCCAACTATCTTCAAAAACATAACTTTAATAGCATACAATGTGGTGATACTATCATTTAAAATTTTTCTATTGTTGGGCATTTAGCTTGTCACTATAAATAATTCTATCCTGAGCAGTCTTAAACATAAAATTTTAGCAAGATTCTAAGAATCTGAATACTAGATCAATGTTTATAAAATGTTTAAAGCTCTTTATACATCTTATAGAATTATTTATTGTCATATTTCTTTACTAACATTAAGAATTTTTCAATTGTTTTTATCCTAATTAAAAAGAAAATTATGATCAGATTTAATAAAATAGTTTTATAGAAAATGTGTTCATATCTTTGGATAGATAATTTATTCTCATGATAGAAAATTCAAAAAATACTAAAGATCTACAGTGAAAAGGGTAAGTCTCGCCCGGGGATTTAGCTCAGTTGTGCTTCTGCCTGCCTCGCAAGTGCAAGATCCTGAGTTCGATCCCCATTACCAGAAAAAAAGAAAGAGTAAGTCTCTCTTCATCTCACCTCCTCTCATAGCTCTCCTCAGTGGTAGCCACTGCTGAGATTCTTGTGTATGATTCTAGAGCTAGTGGGTGCATTATAAGGGTACATATCTTTTTTTCTCTGCATAAATGGCAGCATACTATAACTTTTTCTAGACCTAGCATTTTTCACTTAATATATATTATAGGGCTTGCCATATGGGATTATGTAAAAATCTCATTATTTTTAAAGGCTACAGCATATTTTGTCACTTGGATATGTAGTGATTTATCCAACCTGACCCCTGTTTCTGGACATTTAGACTGTATTCAACCTTTTGCCAATATAAACCTACTATATATATATATAGTTTTGCATATATACAGATAAATCTATAAAAAAAATACCTGAAAATAAAACCACTGAGTCAGAGGGGTCTGGTTTTTCACTCATTCATTTGTTCATACAGAACTTCATACAAGAGTTGATATTCGGACACTTGTATAGCAATTTTATATCTATTGAATCTAATTTTTAAAATTGAGGTTTATATATTTTTATTTCATTTTTCTAGTAATTAATGTCTAGTGTACTTTTCAAAAGTATAAGGCCATGGGCCGGGGATTTAGCTCAGTGGTTTCGCTGCCTGCTACGCAAGTGCAAGGACCCGAGTTCAATCCCCGGTACCAAAAAAAAAAAAGTGTAAGTCCATGATGGATTGGAAGTTTTAAAAATAAACCCTTCATAAATAGTTAGGGAAGGATGCTCCAGCTAAAAAGGAAAGACATCTTTTCCAGCAAATTGAATGAAAAAATGTACATTAAATTCCTTTCTCCTGGGCCAGGGATGTAGCTCAGTGTTGCTGCTGTCTGCCTCCCATGCACAAGGTCCAGAGTTCGATCCCCAGTACCAAAAAAAAAAAAAACTCATCCAAATTCCCTTCTCCTAGTTGGGCATGGTGGTGCATGCTTATAATCCCAGCACTTGTGAGGCTGAGGCAAGAGGATCACCATGAGTTCGGGGCCACCCTGGGCTACATAGTGAGTTAAAGACCAGCCTGAACTATCTAGCAAGACCCTGTCTCAAAAAAACCCAAAAATAAATAAGACACCAGGAGACACTAGTCTATTTGTTATATCATAGTAGTCACCTACATGAGGATCCCTTCTTTCTCTACCCTATAGATGATGTCACCATGGTCATCTGCCCTGGAATTGCCAACCACAGCGAGAAGCAATACATCCGCACCTTCGTTGACTATGCACAGAAAAGTGGCTATCGGTGTGCTGTGCTGAACCACCTGGGAGCCCTACCCAACATTGAGCTGACCTCGCCACGCATGTTCACCTACGGTAAACATGGGCCACAGCCACATAGAGGTCCCCTTTTTCTCTCCTCACTTTAATGTGTTGCTACTTCTGTTTCTACCCTTTTTTTTTTAAGTTTAGAATGTATGCCTTCCTGCAAGAGATGGTGGGGCACACATTTAATAGCAGCACTGGGCATCACTGATGCCATGCCTCACATGCCTTGCTCTGGGGTGCAGCTCACAGAGAAAGGTCTTGCCCAAGGTCCTCTGGCTGGTGAGTGCAAGAGTGGGTAGATTGGGTAGCAGAACTTATGCCCTCGGGCACTCCTCAGGACTCTTGTGACTGGCAGGTGTGAGGTAGCACGTGAGTGTCAGTGGAACATCAGCAACTCCCTGGACTGTCAGGTTCCTGGAGGACAGAACTCAGCTCTCATGGTTAGGTGAATGCTTCTGAATGTCAGTGGAAGTCTTCTGTTAGCTAAGACTCTGACTTCTGGACTGTTTGCCCTTGATTCTTATTTAGCTCTCCCTTCAGATTATGTATCCACATATAAAGGATAAACACATAGAATTATGGATCTATGCACAAACATTTGGGATGTTTATGACCAAATAAATTATGTTTTAATGGGAAACTACAAAAATTATGTCTATAATCTTACCATGACTATAATTTTCTATTTCTTCATCTTCCCATTGTCTTAATGTATGTGTATGTAGTTTTTCTTTGGTTGTAATCATACTATATATATATATATATATATATACACACACACACACACACACACATACATAGTGACTTATTTTTAAAAACTTTATAGTCACCAATATAAAAATACACAGTCATTATATTTGATCATATTGACAATCACAGTGCTATTATTACTCTGTTATAATTTATTGAACCATTCTTCTTTGTAGGGTATGTAGGTTATTTAAAGTTTTCTAGCATTTTAAACAATGATGTTACAAATATCGTGCATATAAGAATTTTTTTCTTCCCTTTAATGACTCCTTTGGAGTAAATTTCCAGAGGTGACTTTTAAGATTGTCGCACAGCAAGGTCATTCCAACTGACACTGTCACTGGTAACACATCAGGCACTGTCTCCTGCGGGGCAGGTGTGGGAAGGTTGCAGGTAGGGAAATGTGAACACACACGGCTGCTTCATGCCAGGCACAGGGTTGGGCAAAGGGTTGGCCATACTCTCCTCTGTGCTTACTCTCATACCTGCACACACCCATTTACACTGGCTCTGTTCACAGTTTAGTCACTGGTTCAAAGACAGAGATGTATATCCAGCTTACAGATGGCACAGATGAGTATGTGGGAGAAAGAACTGGAAAAGGGCAGAAATAGACAAAGTCTAAGACAGTGGGAAATAAGTATAAGGTCTTATAGGTGGATATAAAGCTCCATCTCTACAAGCAGAGGACGGGAGGTGTGGCCTGGCAGCAGGGCCAGGCAGAGGCTTGGGAGCGCTATCTAGCAGTGAGCATGCCAACAGCAGAAGATAAGAAATGCCAGCAAGGGCACTAATGTGTGCCAGTCACAGTGCCAAGGTCTCCATAGACATAACCCCCTTAACTTCACAGCAGCCAGGAGATAATCATTTCTGCTGAACAGCTTAGCCAGAGACTGAGTTTGGGCAAGGGCATCGCACCAGTTAAATAGGAAAGCTCAGATGGGGGCCCTCCTCCAGCTGCCCTGGCCTCTAGAACCCTCTTGGAGCTGGTAGCAGAGCTGAGCCTGAGGGTTCCAGGTTCTGTGGCCCCAGGGTGTTGTGGGTGGTAAAGCAGGAGGCCAGATGGAAGGCATTACCAAGTCTGGGGGTCTGGAAGCAGAAGGAACAAGGAAAGCAGGCTCTGTGTGGGGTGTGTTTTCAGAGAGGGAGAGATGGCTTTGCACTGGAGGCCAGCCCTGCCCACGACTGGCTGTGTGGCCTGGAGCAGTTTGTTCAAGTTCCCAATTCTCCAGCTACAGTAATGAGGACTACAATTAAATGTGTATCACAAAGGTCTTGGTGGACAGTGGAGTCATAGTATTAGGTTTGTCCTTAAATACTTGGAAGCTGTTAGTGTTCGTGAGGGGTTAGCAATGCTGTGTGTGACCCAGATAAGTTAGTTCTGCAGAGAGATACAGGCCTATCAACAATTCCAAACCAGTGTGAAAGTGTAGAGAGGGGCAGGTGAGGAGTCACGCTAGGTCCCCACTGGTGAGCTGGCGAACAGATGAGCTCACAAGGAATTGGCGCTCCTGGACAGGGCAGCAGGCTCTGGGAGGACAAGCTAAGCAGAAAAGCACCATGCTCCATTCGCGTCGGGAGCATGCATAGGGTAAGCCAGGTATGGTGGTGCCTACTTTTAATCCCAGTACTCTGGGAGGGTGAGACAGGAGCATGGCAAGTTCAGTCCCAGCCCGGGCATCTTAGTGACTTAGTAAGACCCGTCTCAAAATAAAAATAAAAATTTAAAAGGGCTGGAGATATAGCCTAGTCCAAAGGCCCAGAGTTCAATCCCCAGTATCACTAAAATAAATAACAACAACAATAGTAATAGCATGGACCAGTGTGTTAAATCTGAGCACGAAAAATCAATGGAAGGAGGTAGGTCCATATAGGAAAAGCTTCAGCCCCCCAATATTAAAAAGTAATTTCTCTATCCCCTTTATTTGTTTTTCTTGTTACATTTTTGTTTCCTTGGAATTTCAGAAGTAAATTCCTATAGTTTGTTATACTGTGATAATTTTGAAGAAAGACGGGTGACCTAGACGAGATGGGTGATTTTTCTAGCAGTGCTCTTTAGCTTTTTATATACTGGTGCATCTTTTAATCTTTAGGGGATAAGGTCAGCCAGATGTAACCCTGAAGAGTTAGAAAATTCGGAATGCAGACACTTTAATGAGATCTAAAATGTAAAACATCCACAGTAGCTCAGAAGACAGTAACGAGAGAAGGCACGAGTGTTTCCTCAGGTGCTATTGATGTGTGTTATGTTGGCTTAAAATGATCTGTTTTTGGGCCAGGGATTTAGCTCAGTGGTTCCACCGCCTGCCTCGTGAGCTGAGGACCTGGGTTTGATCTCGGCGGGGGGGGTGGTACCGGGGATCAAACTCAGGACCTTGTGCTTATGAGGCAGGCGGCGGCACCACTGAGCTAAATCCCTGGCCCTAAAATGATCTGTTCTAATAAATAGTTCTCTGGGCAGGTGAATAAGGAGCAAGACTCCCTTAAACAAGGTGGCCTCATACGTTAAAGCAAAGCCCAGGTTTGTAGCTTTTGATTGGTAAACTGAGGCAACTCAAAAGGTAATACCCTAGAACAGAAAAACTTTCATCACAGTTAATAGATATTAAATTCATAAGTGTGTTAGCTGTGTATTATGGACTTTTTATTTAAGCGCTAATGTACATAGCTGTGAACTTTTCTTTCTATACTCATATCATTATTTATTTATTTATTTATTTATTTTGTGGTACTGGGGATTGAATCCAAGGCCTTTACAATAAGCAGGCCTTTTTAAATGTTTTACCTTGGGACAGGATTTGCTAAATCACTAAGTTGCCTAGGCTGGGCTTGAACTTGGCCTCCTCCTTCCTTGGCCGCCCAGAGTTATAGGATTACAGATATAGACCACCACATCTGGCTCAATGTTAATTTTTAATTACTGTTGCTTTGTGGTAAGATCTAATTGCTTCTTCAGAGTGTGCTCTTTTCTCCCCACCTTTCTCTTTCAGTTGAATTGTATGATTATTCAGTCAAGTTCTGCATTGAATTTCTGTATCAGACAGGATGGAGTAGATTATGTTGTAGAAACAACTCCTAAAACCCAGTGGTTTAAAAACAGATTTTTTGGGCTGGGGATTTAGCTCAGTGGTTCTGGTGCCTGCCGCGCAAGCGCAAGGTCCTGAGTTCAATCCCCGGTACCAAAAACAAATAAAAACAGATTCTTTTCTGCCTCCCTCTCCACATCGCTCATGGCATAGCTGGAGTTTTGGGTCCCCATCATTGCCTCCTGACATGAGGACCGAGGCTCCAGGAGCAGCCACCAGCTGAGCATTGCCAGCATCCCAGGGCATGGAAAGACACTGGCTCTTGAAGCTTCTTCCCAGAAATGATAGCCATCACTCCCTGTCACAATTTATACCTTCAGTGGGGTAGAGATCCCAGGAAGGGAAAGTAGGTATTGGCAAACTCTAGGACAGTTAATCACAATTTTTAAGTAAGTGTTTTAATTTATAAATTAACTTGGAAGAGTATTTTTGTCTTCTGGGGACATGGCATCTTCCTCCAGGTCTCTATAAAGAACTTCTAGTTCTCCTTGTGTAGGTCTGTGAGTCCATACAGATCCAACAGTGCTCAGGGCCCACTGCATAGGGAGCCTGTAATAGAACCAAAGTTTTCAAAGCCATGGACCTAGGTCTTATCCTATGTTTCCTCATTAGTTTGTTTTGGTCTTTTGTTTTTACTTTTTATTATAGAAGTTTTCAAAATAGGCAGAAAGTAGAGAGAATAGTAGAATAAACCAGAATAAATCCCAACTTGCCATCACCCTACTTCAGTAATTATTCAACTTATGGCCAATCTTATTTCTTCTGTAAACCACCTCCTCTCAAGGATTATTTTGAAGCAAGTCCCCACCAGCCTGTCATCTCTGTGACTGTTTCAGTGTGTATCGCTCTGACACACAGACTCTTTGTAAACTGTTTTAATTTGTTTGGGACTAAACAAAATGCTACAATCTGGGTGGCTTACATTAGGAGTCTGAGATCAAGATATTGGCCAGTTTGGTTTGTTCCCAGACCTTTCCCCTTGGCTTGTGTTGCATTTTGTTCAGAGTGTGGTCCTGTCCCTCCATGTCTCTGTCTGCGTCCTTTCCTGCATTCGTTCCTTAAAGGAAACTGACTATATGGGATTGGAGCCCACCCTGCTCACCCCATTTTAAACTTAATTATATATATTTTTTGGTACTGGGGATTGAACTTGGGTCCTTGTGCTTGCGCAGCAGGCAGCGAAACCACTGAGGTAAATCCCCGGCCCCTTAA